GTGAGTCTCTTTACCTCTCCCCACCACCCTGTTTTTGTTTGTTTGTTTGTTTGTTTTTCCAGACAGGGTTTCTCTGTGGCTTTGGAACCTGTCCTGGAACTCACTCTTGTAGACCAGGCTGGTCTTAAACTCACAGAGATTTGCCTGCCTCTGCCTCCCAAGTGCTGGAATTAAAGGCATGCACCACCAACGCCCACCCTACCCTTCCCGTTTTAATAAAACTTCTCACTTAAGCTAAAAAAAAATCTAAATACCCCGTAATTCCATCTAAAAATGTAAATTCTAAAACTAGGACATAGTTTGGTATCAATGTATACTAAAGTCTATGAAATATGTTTATATGTACTCTTACACAGTATAATCAGAACAGATTTCTGTAGTTCTTTTTATGAATGGTATATAATTAAACAAAATTTAGCTTCTGAGTATATTTACATATTACTAGTAAGTAACAAGTATATTAATTATATATATATACATTATGCATATTATCATACAATGTAGACCTCAATATCTAAGTCAGTGTTTCTCAAACCTCCTAATGCTGCTACCCTTTAATACAGCCCCTCATGCTGTGGTGACCCCCCCCAGAAGCACAAAATTATCTTTGTTGCTACTTTGTAGGATAGTCTTAGGTGACCCCTGTGAAAATGTCTTTTGACCCCCCCTCCCAAAGAGTCATGACCCACAGGTTGAGAACCACTGATCTATGTATTAACCTATATAATAATATTGATAGACTCTGAGTTTATGACATAAATCAAATTCTCAGAACTTTTTAGCAATGGTGAGAAAGCACAAAAATACTGAAGCCCTTATTGCATCTTTAATATAACTATAATGAATTTTATGAATGGTCCTATAGCAATTAATTCTTTTAAAAAAGTAAACAATTATATTTCTTCTCCATCTATCCAGCTACTTATGTAACTTCGCATTCAAAAAAGTAGGCCGTTCAGTTCTTCAGTTAGTTTACACAAGTTGGCCAGTAGAAATCATTTTTGGAAACCACATTAGGCTAATAATCACAACCCCACCCTTCCATTCCTAAGGTCACATGGTAAGTGCTCTTACTATTATTTTTTTAACCTCTTATAGCTGGTTTCCCAGGAGCCCTTTCTCTGAGGTGATGGTTTTCTTCAAGTCTACACTAGCATCCTGAGGGCAAGGGTTTCTGCATAAACTAACTATTAGCTTAGCAGACTTAAAAAGCCAGCCAACTGTCTGCACACCCATCTTCATGGTACTATCTCTTTCATGAAGAATTCCAGAAAAAAAAAATCTTCCTTTCTTTCTTTGAGAATACATAATTGCCCTTTCTTGTTTCATCTTATTTTGCATTTTCTATCTTCCCTTTGACAGAACACATAAAACCAAAACAATATCGCATTTCAAAGTTACTCAGTTTTAGCCAGCCATCTCAAAATAAAGTTGGAAATATACACGTAAAAATGATGGTGGGCTTATTACACAGTATCACACAAAACAAGAGCTATCAATAGATTAAGCTTCATGGGACCCGTTTTTTTATTTACATTATCCGCTTGGCCTTCGGAGAAAAAAGCATGCTTTTCTACGGTCTTACCATTCAGGCGCCCATCACATGGGCACGCAGCATTTTAGCTGGTAGCACAGGTGCTTTCCCCATATACGGTTCTCAATTGGCAGACCTTACTTTGCAGCTGATTGTAAAGGGAAAGCAAAACTTGTTTTTGTTTAAGTATTACAAAGTTACCCAGCAAGCATCCATCCTGACAATGTAGCCAGTACGACATTCAGTAAATGTGTGTTGAGTAATGGGTAATTCATTTTACCCCTGTTTACCAAATCCTTTGCAAATCTTTTTTTAGAAATCACATAATAATAGCAAACATCTTACTGGGCACCTGAATTCCGAAAGCCATCAATACTCTTTCTTTCCTTTTTTTTTCTATTTAAAGTTTTTGCCTGCAAAATTTTGCTGTTAGCACAAATTAAAGAACCATACATGCCCGGACACCTGAAATATTTTAGCATTGCATAATCTTACAAGATAGTTCATCTTTAAAGGTTAAGTTTAGCCAACTGAATTAGGAAAGTACATAGAGCTGCTCCCTCTCACTTACAGAGCAGATCAATACAACTCCAATTGCAGCAAGATCATGCTTTCCCTCTCTGTTTCTATTAGTTAGCCATCTCTACTTTGCAGGACAAATTATTTAGCCAATTAAGGCTTTAGCATTTTATCACCTACTAATCATTCATTTCCTTAAAGTAACAAAGTCCTTCTCTAGTGAGTATTAACCTGTCAGATTGAAGACAATTTGGATTTTCTTAGACAAGGTAAATGTTGCCCTAATACTTTAAAAACAAATACAACCTCTGATTCTGAGCAGTTCAACAAACTCAAATACTACTCCAAATGAACATAAATGCGAAGCAACATGAAATAAAGGCCAATTATAAACATAACTACATCTCGTCTTTTCATTCTGCTGTCACTAGGTTTTTCTGAAACCCTCCACATACAACTGTCACAGATATCATACTATCACACGTAAATGCTTACAACTACTTGAAGTGACAGTTAAACTAAAAAAAAAAAAAACCTCAACACACACAAGAATGTTCTTTCATCAGGTGGATGAATTAAACTTTAACCTTCCATTTTGTGTTAGACTAGTCTCCCAGGGCGTGTATCATGTGTAGAGGGGGACAAAAGCCTACAACTTTTCAGTCATTTCTCAGCTTCTACTCAGTTTCTGACTTTCCAGAACTCGGGACACCCACGAAAATGGCAGTAACAGTAACGAGTGTGCGGGGCAAATATATTTTCACCAAAACATTTATTGTTGTTGTTGTTTAATTATTACTGAGGCAAAAGCAAGCAAACAACAAGTCTAGAACGCATTAAAAGTGAAGGAAGCAGACTTGCTCAGGTCTCTTGTCCTCAACCAACTTCGCTCTTCTAATCTACATCTTATTCTCTCCATCTCCAAAACAAAACAAAACAACAACAACAAACAAACAAGAAAAGCAATGTTTCTGCTTGCCATTGGATTTCAACTGGTTTTTGTTTGTTTGGTTGGTTTGGTGTTTTGAAGTCAGAGAAGACACAGATTATTAAAACAGAGCTTTGGGAACATTGTTAGGCGCTGAAATGTGCAAGCAGGCAGTAGTGGCACAGGCCTTAATCTCAGCACTTGCATATCTGTGAGTTCAAGGCCAGCCTGGTCTGCCAAGCAAGTTTCACGACAGTCGGGCTGTTACACAGAGAAACCCTGTCTCCAAACAAAACAAACAAAACAATGCACAGCGGTTTTGTAGTGCATATTTTCTCAGGATGGAGAACAATATGACCTCAAGTGGAATCAACTGATACTGGGGAGGCTAAGAAGTCACACACCTGTGTGTACTGTTACCTAAATATTGAAATTCTCTCAGCTTATTTTCAGACTCCTTGCTTGAAAACATGAAAAACCAAATCCCTTGCCTTTTAATGTCAAAGTAAATAGGTGGTAAATATTTTAAAGTGTTCCCTTATTCAAAGGTATTCTTTTAATTTTGCTTTTCTTTTCATGGGGTAAGGATAGGATGTTGACTCTGAAGCAATGATTTTCGCAGAGTCTGCTTCTGACTTAGCACTGAAGATCACAGACAGCATTGTTCAGAAAATTATGTGACGTTAAACAAAGCTCTACCCACACACAACAGCCTAACAGTCATTTTCCGTGGCATATGATGTCCTCTTCAGTAAATTCCTATGGAGACTAGTTATCATCACAGCAGAAATGAAAGCATCTTGAAACGAAAATGCAGATCTTAAGTCAGGAGACTGATTATCTAGGTAGTGTGATGTGCATTTAGTCTGGGGACTTAATCTTTAACTCTCAAAGTATAGACCCAGGGCCAGCAACATCACTGTCACCTGAAATATGAAAATCTACTCCAAATCCACTAAGGAAAAGAGGAAACAGCCATATATATTGTTTCAACCTGCAGGTGATTTTCATATGCAGTTTAGTTTGAGAACCTCAGGAATAGGTGACCCTGTTGTCTCAAATCACCAAAATGCTACTGTGTAGAGATCAAATGCTTCATTTACCAGTGGTGCCATGTCAAGTACTCTGAATAAAACACCACAATCAAGAACGGGATATTCTTGATTTTTAGACCGGTAACATTTCCCAGAGAAATTTATATTGGCATGCTTTCTGCCATTAGGCAGGCACTGACACACATGATCATTTTAACAAATAGTGGTCATCTCCAAAGCCAATCTTGGTTCTCTTCATTTATAGAGCAGGATACTTTATGATACATACAGCATGGGCATTTCACATCTACTTCTTAAAACCCCTGATCCTTATGGCTTTTTCTCACTTTCCATCATCCAGGAGGTAGAGTGCTAACAAACTCCCCAAGCAGTTCAAGGAAAGGAGACTTTTGGGACTCTCACCCAATGGAAATATGCAGTAGTCACAGTGTATGAAGCCTGTAAAGACTAACTTCAAACAGACCTGGTTTCTCAGTGTGACTCAAGGAACTATCTGAACCGTTAGGATGGAAACCGCTTACCTGAAGATCAAAGTGTGAGACTTGAGCAGGCACTGAGGAGTTAGTTTAGCTTTCCTGAGTTTACAAATGAACAAACAGGAATGACAGAAAACCCCGCCTGGCTGTCAGGGACAAACAAACACAAAACCCACAAGCCCAGCAGGGGTCAAGTTTAATAGTCAGTTTTCACTCCCTCTGGAAGAGCCCCCCCCCCCACTCCTTACAATTTGTTTTGACAGGTGATTACAACAAACTCCACCCTCCCTGACTCACTTCCTAGAGCAGTCAAAACCAGCCCAACTTTCTCACTGCATCAAATGCTTTTATCTCTTCACACGCGAGATGAGGTTCTTCCTAGCAGAATCAGCTTTCAAACTTAACATTTCTTCTTAAGAAAGAAAAACCTCCAAATTTCTATTTTGCCATGAATATAACAGGCGAAAGCCAAACAACTCAGACCTCCATTTGCCTGCAGCAGCTTTAATTTTACAATCCAAAAGCATTTATTTTACAGTACTCAGTAGAGACATGTTTTTTAAAAAGCCTGTCCTGCCTTCTGTGACCTCTAGGAAGCCCTCCGTGGAGGTGATTAATGTACCAGCAACCTATTTCACTGTCCACCTTCCAATCTTTTCTGTAAGGAGTACGTACATTTCCTATGAGCTGTGTACTTGGCAATGCTTTTGTCCAAAGCCTTCCAAATGATGACAAAAGAGGGTCACCAGACACATTAAAAACAAACAAAACAAAACAAAAAAAAATCAACCCTTCCAACAGGGCTTGACACATCTTCGAAATGTGCATCAACTCTAATCTACTTCAATAACCACATTTATTGAAATGTAAGAATGAATTCTTGTAAAAACATTATTTTGAGCAGTTTCAATTTTTTGCACTTAGAAACATAATTGTGTTTGATACTAATGGAGAAATTACATCAGAGTTGGGAAATAGACAAAGGCCAAGGCAGACAAAACTGTTCTCCCTCCTCAAAGGAATAGTGAAATGCAACCTGAACGGAGACAAAAACAAAAAAATTAAGGCAAGATATATTGATATTACTTTTAAGAAACCTGTGATCTCTTTTGGCTGTCAAAGGAGTAAATTCCTCAGTTAACACTCCTCAGACTTCTATAGTCTCTTACATATAAGATTACTGTACTAGAGAACCCAAGAAAAATACACATAAAAAGAAACAACACACATTGCCTCCTTTTTTTTTTAAAGAAACAATTCTTGTGATCCAAATATGATCCACAAATGAATGAGAGCAAGGGAATCCTCTTTAAACTTTTTTTTCTCAATCTAATGATGTGGTTCCAAATAAAAACTTTGGAAGGGTTGAAATAACGGCCCGGGTAACGTACTCCACACACTTGCTGAGTACACTGTGTGTGAGAACAAATTTAAGAACACTTCTGACTTGAGGTGTGACGTAAACAGACAAAACAAAACCAGGACAACTAGAAGGTACCTCCCCCCCCCCATTCTCCCAGATCAATGCTTCTTTCCCAGATCCAAGAGGGTGTTCATAGTGGGCTTCTCCCTTTTGTTACAACAGTGAATGAAGTTCACAGCACTTGCTCAGCAGAACAGAATCAACATACTTCCTCTTCTGGGGAGTCACATGGTAATGGTCTTACCCTGTGATTCTTAGGCCTACATAATTTTCTCCATTAAAAAAAAATGGAAACACTGTCACCCAATTTGTCATTGAAATAATTCTATCTTCAAAACTGGACAGATAACTGTGGAAGGCCCAGCTTCACCAGACACCCCTATCACGGTTACTGTAAATCAATGAATATGAAACACAAAAACACAAATAGTTTGGGGTTTCTTTTAAAAAATGACATTTGTATTAAAAGTCTTAAGATGAAGAGACAATGACTCAATGAGCGGAATTAAACGTTACAATTTGTTAGAATTCCCTTGGTACATCGCAACAATAAAACTCTGCTCTTTGCTTTCTGGAGGACACCCTGTAACAAGTAACGGAGACACTTTGATTAACAACAGAGAAGGGAGCTAAAGCCTGAAATTTGCACAAAATGAAGGGGAGAAAATTTCCAGGCTTAACATTTTTAAAAAGAAAAGCTAAAACTTAACGAAGCAACTCATGGACTAACAGGGCCCCATTTGTCCTGGCTCTTTCAGGGAGATATTTAAAGTGGTTTTGGGGGGAGGGGCAGCAGATTCTGGGATATGGTGGGAATTCACAGGTTGGCACCGGCTGGAACAGCTGAGTTAGAAGGCACTCTGCAGACACAGGGGTGCTGGGGGCCCTGAATCACATTTACAAAGTCTTTGTATTGTATTTTTAAAAGCTAGTCAGCAAAATCTGTCGCTGCCAACCACAGAAAAATGCTATACTTACACACACACACAACAGCATACACACACGCACACAATAGCACACACAAAAAATGTGCAGATCTTTTAACATTTTTTTTCACAGCTGATTAAAAAAAAATACTACCATTCTCCCCCGGACTCCCCTTTGATACAGTAGGTAATCAAAATAGATTTTTCCCCCACAAATATCGGCAGACACTTCCTGGCACCCCACACTGTATTGGCATCAGTGTTAACAGTCCCAGTTCACATGTGCAATACTTCAGATTGGATACACTGTAACAAGAACCCAACTTTGCATAGACATCCGCAGAATCCTAATCAGTCCCTGGGTTGCCCTTCCAAGCTGGCAGAAAAGGAACCCCTGGTCTTAATTTCCAAATAATCCTGGAAAACAAGGGGGGGAAAGACAAGTTTCTTCCCCTTCTCTGGCTCCTTCATATGGTTTTTCTCAGACCTCCTTCCTTGCGTTTAGAACTTGGAAGATGGACAGTTGTTTGGGGGAACCCTCCCCCACTGCCTCCTTCTTCCCTCCACCTCCCCACCCCCATTTTTTTTTTCAGGCTTGAAACTTTTGCTTGCCGGTGTCAAGCAGCCAATACTGCGCTTTGATGGCCACTTAAAACGGGAAGATGATGCATGAACCGAAATCAACGAGGAACGTACACGCGGTTAAAGAGCCACACGTTTCCATCAGGGTCTTGGATGGTCCGGAACCGACACCCCCTTCGGACCCCGGCTGAAGGCTGGGGATGCTGCCCGCGCAAGTCAGCCAGGTTCCTCTGGCATCCCGGCCAATCCCAAGTCGTCTCCCCATCTCAAAAAACAAGAAGACAATCACATTTAAGAGAATCGGGTGTGTTTGGCTTTGTGCACGGAGCGTGGCCGGCGCCCGGGAGCGGCCGGCGCCTCACAGGATCACGCAGGCCGAGCAGCAGCCCTCGTCGCCGTTGGGCTGCGCCGCGTAGTTCATCTGCCTGACGATCTCGGCGAAGAGCTCATCCACCGAGGCTTTGTTTTTGGCGGATGTCTCCATGAAGGGGCAGCTCCACTCCTCGGCCAGGGCCTTGCCCTCGCCGTAGGAGACCTCGCGCTCGCCCTCCAGGTCCACCTTGTTGCCCACCAGGATCATGGGGACGCGCTCGTACCGCTTCACGCGGATGATCTGGTCCCGCATGGGCTTGATGTCCTGGAAGCTCTGCTGGTTGACCAGGCTGTAGACCAGGATGAAGCCCTGGCCGTTCTTGATGTACAGGTCCCGCATGGACGCGAACTGCTCGGTGCCCGCCGTGTCCAGGATCTCCAGCACCGACGGCGACGAGTCCACCTCGATCTCCTTCCGGTAGAAGTCCTCGATGGTCGGGTCGTACTTCTCGATGAAGGAACCCGTCACGAACTGCACGGTGAGCGCGGACTTGCCCACGCCGCCCGAGCCCAGCACCACGACTTTGTACTCTCTCATGGCTCCGTCGGCGCCCTCGTCGCGCCTGCCGCCGCCCCGTCGGGGCTGAGCGCTTGGGGGAAGGCTGGGTTGGGCTGGGCTAGGTGGACGTCTCCCCTTCCTCCGTTCCGCAGGAAAGAAACCCAGCGAGAGTGGCCCGGGAGCGCGGGCTTCACCGATCGGCTAGCAGCGGAGCCCCGCGCGCAGCCGACCCGGGGCGGGGGCGCGTCCCTGGGGCGAGGGTCGGTCCCGGGCCCCGCAGCAGCCCTGGCAGAGGACCCGGAGGACAATGCGCGCAGCCGGAGCGAGGCAAGCGCTGGAGCTCCTCTCCACGGCAGCCCGGGAGGGCCGGGAGGCGGTGGCGGCTGGCTGGAGAGGCGGATGCTAATTGCGCGGCCGGCGGCTGGGACACGCGTGGCATGTGTCCCCGCGGAGCGTGCGCCCAGCTCCGCGGCCCATCGCTCGCTCTCTCGCTCGCTCTCCCCGGCAGCCTCCGCTGGGGCGAGGGCTTCCTACTCGCCCGCCGCGCGCACACTGACCCTCCCCGCCCCGCCGAGCATGCCCAGTGAGCCGCCCGGTGGCGCCCCGCCCGAGCTCCGCTCCGGCTTTTCCGCAGCGTCGGGAGGAGGCGTGACTGGAAGGTGTGGCTAGAGGGTGTGGCCAGCCGGGACTGGGCGGGGCGGCGCGAAGCTTGGAACTGGGCAGTCGAGCGGGTGCCTGTGCCTGCAGGTGGGGAGGTCCCGACCGATGCTACCTCCTTTTCAGGGCGCTGCGAGCTTCTTGGGGCGGGGCACCTCGGGCAGTCGCTGGCTGTGGTCTGCTCTCCGCCGCCTTGGGCTGTGAAAGGCGGATGGGACACCTCGTCCCCGACCCCGGATCGGTGCACGCTTCCCTGGGCATTTTCAGGGCAGGGAAGGTAGCCGTGGCGGGTGCCCCCGACTCGACCTGGTTTTCTAGTCTCGAGTTCCTGTTCTGACTAGGACCTAGGGGATGGGAGTCCATGGGGCACCGCATCCTTCGGGGGGGAAGGGGGACAGGATTCGCGGGGTCGTCCCACCTCCCCTTTGGCTGGAGCCAAAACCCGGCTGGCGGATCCGAGCCCGCGGAAGGCTTGTGCGGTTCCTGCACCTCGTCGGGGCATGCTCAGTCGGCCGGGCAGGTTTGGGGCTTGCAAGTAGGAAGGTTTCGCACCGCACACCCACACGCCAGCTCGAATTACCTCTCCTAGACTCCCTACTCATTGGCCCCAGGACGCGAGTCTCACACCCCCAAATGGGTTCCCATTGGCTGCTGCCGAGGTTTTGTCACTTTAGACAGCTTCATTGGTTGGAAGGTCGCCTCCGCTCGGGATTGGTTATTTATAGAGATTGAGTGGAGAGGCGGAGGCCCAGCTGTTCCTTCTCCACTGCTCCCCGCCCCCCCTGCCACCCACTCCTGGGGGCCTGTGGATCTGAAGCCTGGGGGGGGGCAGGAGGGGGAAAGGAGGAATTTTAGGCGGAGTGCTCTCAACTAAGTATAGTCCTTTGTTGGTGCTCTGGAGGTTTGTCTGGTTTCTTCAAGCCCAGTCACGACCGTTCCTTAAAGGGAGCAGCTAGGGTTCCTTGTTGCTCTCTGTCTGCAAGAAATCCTGAAAGTTTCTAACTTAATCTTTGCCGGGGTGGGGGTGGGTGGGTGTGGAGCTGGGATGAGCAATGCGCCGCCGGGAGCTCGTGGTAGCAGGAGAGGTGGGGCTGCCCAGGCTTGCCTCTTCCCGAGCTCTGCACGGTGGGGCGGCAGCCGCAGGACTTGGCTCCACTCACTCGCGCCCTGATTCTAGGTGACTGACGCCCGGACTTGTCTGGAGTCTCTCTTAGTTCCTTGCTAGGAGAGATGTCTAGACCTGTCAGCCAGCGCACAGCACTGGCTGTGTGTGGGAGCCGCCGAGTGCAGAGCGGGTGGGGATCGGGTTGGCGGCGACCGGGTGCAGTGGCCTGTCTCCTTATCCGCTGCCACTAGATTCTGCTTTAACCGTCCTCACTGCGGGGAGAACGGGGCAGTGCCTTTTGGTTCCCACTTTACCTGCAGTGCTCTTGGCCCCCTTTTGCCAGCGGGGCTGCTCCAGATACTGGGCTGCGGGCCCAAAGTGTGTGTCCACAGCGGTGAAGTTCCAGCCAGCAGAGCCGTGCGGCAGTCCTGTAACCCCTGCCTCTGTTCCTCGACGGTGCTCGCTCTGCCTTGGCTCCGCCGTTTGTTTAGTGGAGAAAAGGGTTTTCCGTGGTCGAGTACCGACTGCCTCGATTTAATTATGCTGATGAAATTCTTCAGAGGATTATCTCCGAAACAAACTTTAATATAGCTGGGCAGAACGCTGCCAACATTCTGCCAAGTGTTTTGCATGCACTATCTCAATTACCCTCCATAATAATTACTTTTATGGGCATTTTAAAGATGAAAAAACCGAGGTTCCCAGGGTTTTAGTAGCTCGCCTGAGCGTGGCAAGGCAAGGATTACAATCTAGGTGTTTGATTGTAGAACCGTCAAACTGCTTGAAGATAAAGCAGAAGGACCCCCTGCTATGACCATGCTTTTCTCTCTTCTTGTGACCATGATGCTATTTGGATGGTGCTCCCTCTTCTGGACTGTGACTCCAAGTGGCCAGAACCCTGAACTCCAAACACCTTTCTGTGTGGTGCCAAACCCACCTCAAGAATCTTCTGAGGACTCCCAGCTCACTCCTATCCAATTAATGGTTCTTTACTGGACTAAACTGTTGTGGGGCCCCTTGAATGCTAGGAGCAGGGACAGTGAGGTCACCTATGCTCTGACTCCCTTCAGCCTGGCCCTTGAAGGTGTCCACACATTCTCAACTCCACACCTGGCTGCCCAGGTTCCTGTAAAGATGTGCTTGTTAAAGTGCAAAGATTGATCCCATTTTGCCAGTTCATCTTGGTTGATAACTTAAAATACTTTTAGGGCTGTTTCATCTAAGTCGGTGCGACGGATATTGTTATTGGTTGACTACATCTGGAATGAACTATAATTCCAGAAATGGAGGGCACACCTGTGAGAGGTTTGTTTGTTTTTTGTTTATAACTTTTTTTCTTGGTTTGAAGTGGGTGAATCCTCCTCTAGTACAGACCTTTGAAGCAGGGAAACACACGTCTTTGATCTGGATCTTGAAGTCGGAAGGCAAACCTCTAATCTGCGCCATGCCTTCTTCTGGAAGTCTATATAAGGACATAGGGGAAGGAAGATTTTGCTCTTTGCCTGCTTGCCCTTGGCTTGCTAACACATCCATTTCTTCCCTGGTATTCCAGCTTCTGTCTCTGGGATTCCAGCATGTACTGAAGACCAGCTGACACGTTCAGCCTTGTGGCTTGAGCAGCTACTGAATTATTTGCCTTTCTGCTCACAGGTAGCCATTGTTGGATTAGCTGGACTGCAACCTGTAAGTCATTCCAATAAATCCCATACATATAAATGTGTGTGTGTGTGTGTGTGTGTGTGTGTGTGGTATGTGCAGATTCATTCAGTAAGTTCTGTTACGATGAGAACCCTGACTAATACAATAGGCCTTATGCACACTCTATGCTCACAAAGGGGTGAGTTTGAGTAACCCGAAGGACAATGCCTCATTCTTATACACCTAGTGTCTAATATCAAGCACCAAACCTCTGTTACTACCCAGGGCGTTTGGCAAGCCCATTACACTTCCTGACCTTAGTTTGCCTATCTATAGAATAGTGGTGATGAAATATGTTCCACCCACAGAGCTGTGCCAGGGATCTTGAAGAGACTATGGACAGCAAAGCCTTCAATTTCCAGCAGAGAGCTGAGCAGAGTTAGGGCCCAGTGTCCTGCCTGCCTTCTCCAGCAGTTTGATGCATCGCAGAGGGATAATACTGAACCAAGAGTGGATAGTGACACTTGTTAAAACTCTTGTGCACCAGACATCCATCAGTTATTACCCAGACCCAAGCACCTGGACAGCCTCATCTAGGGGAGATACTCTTGTAGACAAGTGGATGGTGTTACTGAAGTTTGATGGCTTTTTTTTTCAATAACAGAAAGATGCTACAGTTTTCAGTAACAGAAAGATGCTGTTTGACATTTTCAGTAGTATATTATATCCCAGTTATTTCCCCACAGGTAGGCATACATGGGTGTTGTATTTCAAAATGAAGCCAAGGTTTCAACAGGTTTTTGTTTTTTGGTTTTTTTTTTTTTTGGCTAGGGGTGCTGGGAATTGAACACAACCTGTTTCCCACAACAGTTAAATAACTACACACTACATGCCCAGCAATGTGTGTGTATGTATGTATGTATACACACATATAGATATCTAAAGACAGACAGACAGACAGGATATTGTTCATTTGCCCAGGCTGGTTTTGAACTTGATCTGTTGTTCATGGCAACTGCCTGCCTCAGCCTCCTGGGAAACTAGGGTAAGAAGCCTGGATTGCTCACCATTTTAATGTTGGTCACTCCCTCTTATCGGAGTTTGTTTTGATTTTGTATGAGTCATTATCTGCCCTGTACTGTAATTATTTACGGAACTAAAGTCTCATTGCCCTAAGCACCATGTGACTTGTTAGAGGGCAGCACCTACGTCTGGTTTATCTTCCGAGCCTTCTGTGTTTCATGGTATTCATTATGATAGGAGATCCTCAATAAACACCCATCAGTGGAGGTCTGAGTTATTGCTTTTCTGAGCTCTATCTGTGATGAAAGATTTTGACATTCCTTGATAAGCCACAACATCTCCTTGTTCCAAAGAAAAGTATATGCTAATGTTCAAATCTCCCTGAGTCTTGAAGATGCTGGAGTAATGAAAATTCACACCGACTTGAGTGGCAATACTTAAAATAATGTTGTCCAAGGGAGAGAGGCCCAGGCTCCAAAGAGCAAAGGACATTATCTCCTGACAGCCTGAAAGGGGGTTTGGAAAACAGTCTGAAGGAAATGAGATAAAGCAGCTTAACCTTTGATATTCTGTGTAAACAGAGGCCCATTCTGTGAGATGTGGCTCTGCTCTGGACCTGCAAGGGTAGCAGGAATGCTATAAGGTGACTCTGTAAAGACCTCAGGCAGAAAACTGCTCAGCTATACAGAGGGGCTGAATTTCATGATGTCCTTAGATTTCCCAGAGCCAACTGCAGGCAAATAAATCATTCTAGGTAAGTTCTCCTACTTTTGAAAATGCCAACAGTAAGTTGGTCGTGAATGTATCGTAATTTTAAAGTGGAAGATTAATGGCTTTGCAGAGTTCCTAAAAGATGTATGTCAAATAACTGAATGTATGATAATAGAACCATGTAGCTGGGTGGTTCAGAGTTTTATCGAGGTATTTTTTAATGTAACCAACAACAGGGTCCCCTGAAAGTATTTTCTAATTTTGGCAGTCATGTCTTCATACTGTTTGTGTGACGCTTTGGCTTGCCAACACATTTCATTTTGCTTCAGATACAACCCTATCACCTGTTACGCAGCCATCTCATGAGAACAGAGCCTTGACCCGTCTTGATGAGATATTGAATCACTGTTATCCAAGAACTGTCAAGAGCATCAAAGGTGACACAAAGCCCTGCTCGATCTCAATCTTACTACCTCAGTGACTGCCTGCTGCCTGGGTTACCTGTGTTCTGGTCTCTCTCTCTCTCTCTCTCTCTCTCTCTCTCTCTCTCTCTCTCTCTCTCTCTCTCTTCTTTCTTCCATTATTCTTAACATTGCGCATGGAAAATTTTCAGATTAAACGGCCTCTGAAAATCATTCAAGCTCTACAAAATCTTGACATATTGTCAGGGCCCACAGACATGGCTCTGCTTCAACTTAAGGTCAGAGAGTTCAAACCCACTATTGCTCTCTCTGGGTTAAACAACAGAATGTTTGGCCTGAGACTAAGCTAAACTAAGATAAGCTAATGGCTGTCTCACCTTAACAACAGGGTATTTGACCTAAGAAATGGGTGTCTCACTTTAACAATAGGATATTTAGCCTAATGGTGGCTATTGTGTATCTAGCCTTGACAACAGGATACTTTGTTTACAGTGTGTTTAGGTGATATTTTGGGTATTGAGAAGGTAATTACACTTGCTTGTTGTTTGCATGGTAGTAAAGAGGTCTTTTTGCCTTCCCCTCTTTTGGGTCCCCCTCCCCAGGGTTTCTTTGTGGCTTTGGAGCCTGACCTGGAGCTAGCTCTTGTAGACCAGGCTGGTCTTCAACTCACAGAGATCCACCTGCCTCTGCCTCCTGAGTGCTGGGATTAAAGGCTTGCGCCACCACTGCCCGGCGTGCCTTTCCCTCTTTTGATGGGGGTATAAAAAATTTGTTAACAATGAAAATGGCAGCCGGGCGTTGGTGGCGCACGCCTTTAATCCCAGCACTCGGGAGGCAGAGGCAGGCGGATCTCTGTAAGTTCGAGACCAGCCTGGACTACCAAGCGAGTTCCAGGACAGCCTCCAAAGCCACAGAGAAACCCTGTCTCGAAAAAACCAAAAAAAAAAAAAAAAAAAAATCAAAACAAAAAACAAAAACAAAAACAAAAAGTTATCCTAGTCCGGTGGGACTAGGCTGATACAACACATCGACCCTGGTAGGTTTGTGTTCCATCACACGTTTTTGAATGACTTGGCATATTTTAATTCTTCTAGCTCATTTTAGAAAAAAAAAAAAAACAAGTGAGAGGTCAAAGTCCCTCTTCTTGAAGGTAAATGGCCCCCGTCTCTCTCTGGTCTCAGATCTGCCAGAGCCCCTGATCTGTGGGGAAGACCTGCCTTCCTCCTGAAGCACGACAGAATACACAGTGGAAGCAAGCATTATGACCCCGTGCAGAAGGAGCAAAGCAAGCTCGGGGAACGGAGGGTTTCCGAGAGATTTAGTCGATCCTAGGTTGTCTTGGTTCGAAAGAACCATGTCAAGCCCCAGTCTGTTTAAGAGTTCTCTCCTCGGAACGTTCTGTTCCAGAGAACCAAATATAGCAAGAATAGGAGAAACCGCTTAGCTCCGTCACAAAGAATTTTTTCCTCCCTTTCCTTTATCTCACAGCCCACTAGATGGAAGGAGCCCCCCTCTCCCCCTGCAGGGATGCGAGCACACCACTTCCCCTCAGCACAGCTGAAGCCTATCGGCCCTCCACGGTGGCTCCACCAAGTCTTCAGCCTGCGGTTTTGATGCAGACAATGAGGGCCTGTGCTCAGCAGAGGAAGTTCACTTGTAAATCATCACCAGCAGAGGGGTCTGCTGGAAGGAAGCTGCCCATTGGGTGTTCTGTGTTCCTGGGAATCACATAATTGAGCAATCATGAGCTAGTGTTGAAGATCTGTGAGTCACAGCTTAGGAAGAAGGCACCTGAAAGCAGAGGATGGCTTTGTGGTTATTGTTTTTATGTCTGTTAGCTTCGCTGGTAAGGAAATATACTGAAAGCCCTGTGTACCCAAAGATTGCTGTTATTTTATTCAGCGTTTGTGATATTGTCATGTGACTACAAAGATATATCTTGGAAGCTCCTTTCTGTAAAGGGGTTTCTAGCCTTAAAGACGTTATTGTCTTATAGAGGCGATTTTATGGACAGAAAAAGGAATGAAGCTGGGAAACTGATCAAATATTTCTGCGTTTTGTGTAAGCTGAATACTCTAAGGGAATGCTTCAAACTCTTCTCTGCAAAGTGCTAGATCATAAACAGGTCAGGTTTCCCTGGCCAAACTCTGTCTTTACTACTTCTAAGTTTCATCTGGCATACAAGCCTCCTTAGACAACAGTATGCAAATAAGTGGTTGTGGCAGAGTGCCAATAATACACTTCCTTTGTGGAAACAGGTGGTGGACTGTATTTGGCGTGCAAGCCCATGGTTTGTCAATTTCTAAACCATGAACTAAAGGGGGTGGGAGAAAAACCCTTCATTTGTCACCGGAGTTTCTTTAAATAAAAATGAACTACTAGTCTGTCAATAGATGCAGTTACACACTTTTGGCTGTAATCAATGGGAAACTGCCAGTCAAATACTGAGGACATATCAACAAATAAAACTGTCTATATAATTTATAAATGCTCATATTATGCAAATGTCAAAGGTATTAGCCATGCTTTATCATTTTTATTTTTAATTTAATATTTAAGTGAATTTAGTGTTTATTTTTAATTGTTGATTATGGATTATGTTCATTATGTAATATATTACATAACTGTCTCACACACACACATATCTTGAAAATAATTTCATTAATTTGTGGCTAACTTTTGATTTTAAATTAAATTTATTTTTAGCTATTTCTTTTCTGAATTTGCCTTTTTCCTGATGGGTTTCCTTTGTGGATTTAATGCCACGGGTAAGAAGTCACCTCTTGTTTTTCGTAAGCTGGTGTTTTCTTCTAGTGTGTTTTATGGTTATGTGTTGGCTTGCTTTTCAAATGAAGAGGGAAATCAGTAACGATGATGAAAGGGAAACCTGAGTAATAGGACATCCAAAGAACAACAGCTTCTGAGGAAAAAGAGAGAGGAACCTAAGAACACAGATGGCAGGAGGGAGCTTCCTTCCTCTGGAAGGAAAGAGAGATAAAACCCAACCCACCTGAAGATGAGCCGACAATCCTGAAAGTTGCTGCACTGCGACTGACCTCGGCGTCAGTGAGACTCGGCATCAGTGAGACTCGGCTGTGCACCCGGTAGGAAGGGAGCAGCCAGGGATGGGGGAGGGGTCCTGGAAGAAACACAGCGGTTTGTCACACCGTGGTCTGTGCCACACGTGGCATGAAGATGCTCGGTTACTACATTCGGGTACAGGCATTTATGAAGACGCAGAGTCGCCTTCTAAAGAATTTAGATGCTGATGATTCCTCTCGAGCATGTCAGATCAAAAAAATCAATTGGAATTTCTGAAGGCTTTTTTTTCTTATGCAGCACATACAAATACATTATTATACAATGAACTATTACCCGCCCCCCACCCATATATCTGTATCCTTAGTAGAAGTATGCTTGTGACCCTGCAATCAAAATTCCATCACAGATGGGAAATAAAATGAATTCAAGAAATTTGTCGACAATGTGGTCTTCTGGTCTACTGTCCTATCAAATGCATGCTAACTTACAATAAAGCGCAGCTAAACTTTCAGAGAATTCATCATTTTGAGTACTTTTTTTTGGTTGTTGTCCAACAAATATTCATTCTATGTGAGGTATTATGACCCTGCTTAAAATAAAACCATTTTATCCTTTTTGTTATGTAAGTGGTATATCCTTGTCATAAAAATTCAGGGTGTTTAGAAATGCAGGAAAAATAAAAATAAATCACTTAAAATTAACCTTAGTATTTCAGTTGATAGTATTTACTTTATAGAATTATTTTCTGCACAAGGTTGGGCTTCTCATGACTGCCTTAATTTACAGCTCAATTTAGACTCTTAAGTATCCTACAAATAGGGATTAACTTAGGAACCTTAAATACTGGCTTAGAGAATCATTTCCTTCTTATTTAATTATCTCTTTATGGGAATTTCATATCTCTTGTGCTAATGCTAGTATAATCAAAAGTTGCCCAGAAGATGTCTAACTGACAAAGTCCCTGAGCCAGGCTGTTGGGGACCAGCATTACCTGCCTGTTTGTCCTGAATGTGGGATAGAGCTCCTTCATTCAGGTTCTGTCCCTCTGCCGGGATGATCTCCCCCTGTGGTTACTGTGCCTTGGATGTGTCAGAACCCTTCAAAGCCCTGGCAGTGACTTCTCCATCACCCACACATCTCTGTTCTCTTTGTCAGCTGCTCCTAGACTTCAGTCTGTTTTCTCTTAGGTTTTCCAGAGGATTAAAAGAAATCTGCCTTATACCCACAGCTAAACACTGAACTGAACTCCTGGAACCCAGTGACAGAGAGGGAGGATTGATGAGCAAAGGGGTCAAGACTGGACTGGTTTAACCCACAGAAGCAGCTGACCTGAACAAGCTGGAGCTCATGGACCCCAGACTGATGGCTGAGAATCCAGCCTGGGACTGATCCAGACCCCCTGAATGTGGGTGTCGGTGAAGAGGCCTAGGCAATCTAAGGGGCCTTGGGTAGTAGATCAGTATTTATCCCTGGCATACAAATGGACACTGGTTGACCATCCCACAATGAGGGATGCTCTCTCAGCCAGGACTCTTGGGGGAGGGCCTAGGCCCTGCCCTGGATGAAATGACAGATTCTGGAGATCCCCCATGGAAGGCCTCACCCTCCCTGGGGATCGGAGTGGAGATTGGATGAGGGGACGGGCAGGGGGCCAGAGGAGGAGGGGAGGGAGAGGGAACTGGGATTGACATATGAAGCAAGCTTGTTTCTAATTTAAATAAAAAAGAAGAAAACAATAATGGACAGCATAGACAAAGCAATGTCCATCATGGCCTGAGTAGTAATGGTAAGCATAGGCAAAATGAACTTCGTGGTGTCGTAAGTGGTAAGGACCTTTGTCATGGGGTTTCTGGGCGTGGAATAGATAAGAATCCTACTGTATTTTGTTTTATCTGTACCAGTGGGAAAAAAATCTCAAACAAATGAAAGAAATCTACCTTCTTATTTTCCCCAAATTGTGTCCCAGTATGCCTGGAAAACGGCTTACTCTCAACTCTTCAAGTTATGGGAAAAACAGGGTTATGTTTGCTGACACGGTTTCAGACCAAAATTCTCTTTAAAGTACTCTTAGAGTTTCTGTGTAGTATTTCACAACTTCAGTTACAACTTGGTTCTGAGCACACAGCACATTTTGTCGTCTGCAGGCCTCCATGTTCAACAACAAAAGCGACCTTGGCCCAGATGCAAGATCATTGTTAAGAATTTCAGTGTTTTTACTGAACTTTCAAAGATTTTTCTTCCTGTAGAAATATCACGGGTTAAGTATGGAAAACATCTTTTTTTTTTCTTCTCCAAGACAGGGTTTCTCTAGTGTAACTGTAACTCATTTTGTAGACCAGGCTGGCCTCCGACTCACAGAGATCCGCCTGCCTCTGCCTCCTGAGTGATGGAATTAAAGGCGTGTACCACCACCTCTCCAAGGAAAACAATCTTTGGAATTTCCCTACTGTCTCAGTTAGGGTTTGTGATATAATACTGTGGCCAAAAGGCAAGTTGGGGAGGAAAGGGTTTATTAGGCTTACACTGGAGCGTTCCTGTTTGTCCTGGAAGGAAGTCAAAACAGGAACTCAAACAGGGCAGGATCCCAGAGGCAGGAGCTGATGCAGAGGCCATGGAGGGGAGATGCTTATTGTCTTCCACCCCTGGTTTGCTTAGCCCACCTTCTTATAGAACCCAGGACCAGCAGCTTACAGAGGGCACCTTCCACCATGGGCAGGGCCCTCCCCCACTGACAACTAACTGAGAAAATGCCTTACAGCTGGGTCTCATGAAGGCATTTCCCTAGCTGAGGCTCTTTCCTCTGATGAAACCTATAGCTTGTGTCAGTTTGACACACAAAACCACCAGAACACCTACCATCATTCTTCTGCATGTAAGTTCAAAATTTGTACAATTTTGCTTTTTGTTTCTTTGTTTTGATTATTCAGGGTTTCTCTGTGTAGCTCTGTAGACCAAGCTGGCCTTGAACTCACAGAGATCCACCTGCCTCTGCCTCTGGAGCGCTGGGATTAAAGGCGTGCACCACCACCGCCCAGTTTCCAAATTTGTACACTTTTGAGTTAGATTGTATCAGAATGCTTGATTTTCAATACTGCTATCTGAATTGCTGAATTGAATTTCATAAAATATTGTTAAATGATTTTTGGTTTGGGGTTAGGATGGCTGTTCTAATAATTTATGAAAAGGACCTAAGCATAATTCTGACATTTTTGTAAGATGTATTTTTTTCAAAACAGTGTTCTCATCATTGATGATTATAAAATAAATATCAGTCAATACAATAAAACATTGAAGATGCTCTGTGTCCTGTAGTATCAAATACTCTGCCAAGAGATTTAATTCTTTCTGTAAAAATAAACCCAGCACATTATCTCATTAGTATGGAAATTTGCTTTCATCCTTAACAAATGGGAAATTATATGTATCACAAAATCTATTTTAAGATAAATTTATGTTTTGATATCAGTAAATGTTTGATTTGCATATCTGTTTTCCATTCCTTATATATCCCAAATCACATAGAAATTTCTCGGGCAAAAACGGGGTTGAAAACATGACAAAGTTGAAGATGCCCCGCTCTGGTCTACATTGGTCCAAGTTACCTGTGGGAAAACGTGATTCAGCTTCCGAAGCATGATTGAAGGACATCAGAAATACTCGAAGGGAGACACCAATCAAATGCAGAGTTTGCATCGTAGACAACATTTTGAAATTGCCAGTTTCCCCAGGGAGAAGGGATTCTTTTGTAAAAAGAAGCTCCCAGAATACCTTGGATGCTGGGACACAGACTCCCTGACATTTGGTGTCAGACTTGCAGCGCTGGTAGCTATAGCAGCTAGGCATGACACAGCAGCAAACTATTACTAGCACAAATGGCAGTCACTTTGGATGTTGATGACTGTAGAAAAACCTCAGTGTAGTGTGCTAATGCAGGAATACAGGCAGCCCACTGAGCAGCCGAGAAGACTGTCCAGGGAAAGGGCCAGCATTACAAGTCTATAGGCTCTAAGTGTTATTGGTGATGGGGGAAAAAAGGAGTTTGGATTTACCTACTGTGGCTACAAACTAAGGAAAACAGCAGCAGCAATAATAATAATAGTAATAAAATGTATGATTTGGGGCTATCTTATCCCTTGAGCAGCTTAATGGAGGAAATTAAGACACACAAGGAATTGTTTGGAAACGGTCACTCAAATAAGCCAGGAAGGTTTTCTCAGCATCCCTTCTGTCCCCGTAGGGTTCTTCTGACTATATTTTCAATATCTTCTAAAGTGAATTCACTGAAAGGATTAGGGATACTTATGACTTCAAGGAGTGGGAAACCCAACCAAGGGGACAGAGAACTAAGCAAGTACTTATTTAGTATGTGACAAGAAGTCTATGCCTGGAGGGCTTTTGATTTAGTTTGAGGGCTCACTGAAATCAGGAATCAAATGGGCTTTTGTGGCAAAGGGGATGGGCTGGGATAGGAAGTTAATTTGAAGAGGGTCTTCTGTTTTGCCTTAAGCCACAAATCCCACTGACTTCCAGGCCGAGTTCTTTGACTAGGCCTGCAGTGACTGTTTTCCAAGTTGGAAGGGGAGCTGAGAGTTGGGAGACTGACTAAAGAAAAATAAATTGAGACTGATATTTGATGAGCCAGCCTATCATGCCAACATCAAATCCCAAACCTATCTCAGAGATACGTTTTTTTTTCTTTGAACTGAATTTATGCAGAATTTCCCCGTTTTCCCAATAAGTTTAATGTGAGAGATGGGTGCAATCACTTATTTTTTCATTAAGAAGTACACTTCAAAAATTTTGATTTATCTTTAGGTTGGCTATGCATCATGCAAAGGCTTGTTCGTATGTCTGCAATAGTAAGGATCTAGCTCAGCACTTCATTCACACAGAAAATACTCCACCACTGGATTGCACTTCCAATCCTGATTTAATGTGTGGATTTTCACAAAGCTCAAAAAAAACATGGGCTTTGATTCCAGATAGCCAACAATTCATAAAATAGAAATAACGCAGAACTTTTAGCTGGACTGGCTTTTAAAATTTGAATGTCTAGCTTTAAAAATGTGAGAAAGCTTACTTGGTGTATGCAACAACTAGTCGTCAGGATAGGTCCTGTATACCCTACCTTTCTATAGCCACATTTGGAATTCTTCACCCAGTTCATCATAGTTGGTGAGAACGATGAAAAAAAAATAGAAGTGGTGGCAGGTCACTGATGGGAGATGTCCTTCTGTACATATGTTTGTCTTATTGAATAAAACACTGATTGGCCAGTAGCCAGGCAGGAAGTATAGGGCTACCAGCCAAGGAGAATTCTGGGGACAGGATGCAGAGAGGAGTTGCAAGGAGACACCACACAGCCAATGAAAGAGTAACATGCTGGAGCATTCTCTGGTAAGATAGACCACATATCAATACATAGTTTAATAGAGATGGGTTAATAATTAAGAGAGGACTAGCCAGTAAGAAGACTAAGCCATTGGCCCAACATTTTATAAATAAGTCTTTATGTG